GCGGGGACGCGGGCGGGCGGGAGCTCTGCCTGCGCCCGAGGCCGCCGCCGCGGAGAAGCCCCGTGGCCGCTTCGCCCTCCGTCAGTGCTGGGCGCGGAGAAGCCTGCAGAGGCGACCGTGCTCGGTTTTCCCTTCGGTTTGGGGAGAGGGAGCTGGTGGTTATTTTGTAGTTTAATCGACGGTAAGAATCGTACACGCCATGGGCTCCGTGCGATGTTGTCACACGTACGTCTGGGTGAGGTGTAAACCTGGGTGAGCCTACTGCTTGTCTCAAAGTGGTGTGTCAACCTTGCAAAACACACGTGGCTCAGCCTTCATCCGGAGTGTTTGGGACCAGAACTGTTTGCAACTTCGGAAGTTTTTGGATTATTTGCATGGACTGTACTTGTGGACATCCCCAATCAAAAAATCCCAAACCTGAAATATTCCAAAATCTGAAACCCTTTGAACATCTTTTAGTCGTCGACAGGAAGTTTTCCTCTTGTTGAAGGCAATAAGAAAGTTGGGTAAACAGGTAAAGCAAACCGTGGTGTATGATTGTTCTATCCATTGTGCCTGTTCTGAGTGAGATACGTGTGCTCAGACATTGATTTTGCTTTCTTTGCCTCCAGGTGGAAGGCGTTTTCTATGTGAACGATGCCTTGGAGAAGTTAATGTTTGAGGAGTTAAGGAACGCCTGTCGCGGGGGCGGTGAGTGGTAGTTTCACCTGTGGTACAAGCGACCCCTAACGTGTAGCCTGAATAAGTGGCGCCTCAAATAATTGCCACTTTAAAAATACTATCAATAAATTATCAAGACTTGAAACAAACCAGAGAACTGGCTTTCCTTAGCCACTCGGGCCTGTAGAAAGGGTTCAGAGCTGAGTTCCTGCCTCGTGTCTCAGTTAACGTTGGCGGGTGATAGGAGTGGCTCTCGTTTGGTCTGTGCCTGCTGTGTGCCAGGCATTTGATGAGCGCTTTCCATCGGTTGTTCATGCAGTCCTTAAGAGAAGTTAAAAAAAAAAATAGCCACTATTACCTTGATTTTACAGATGCGTGAGTCAAAGTATGATGAGAAGTCAGGTACTTCTGCTTTGCCCCTCGTAACACAACCTCTTGGTGCCAGCCACATTTCACATCCAGCAGTGTAACCAGGGTGCCGCTGATACGGTGGGACTTGGGACGCTGTCTCGCAAGGCTGCTCACATGTGAGGGTTAGAGATTGGTGTTTAAATCTCTCTTAAGACAAGCCAGGTGTGATGGTGCATGCCTGTAATCCCAGCACTTGGGAGGCTGGGGCAGGAGAATCATTCTGAGTGTAAGACCATCCTGGGTGCAAAGTGAGCTCCAGGACAGCCTCAACTGCGTAGTGACGCCCTGCCTCAAACTGACATAGCAATCATCACCTAGTTTTAGCCTCTTTTTTTGGTCTTTTTGAGACAGGATCTTGCTATGCAGTTCAGGCTGGCCTTGAGCTCCTTTTGTAACCTAGGCTGGTCTTGAATGATCCCCCTGCCTAAGCTCCAGTGCTGGGATTACAGGCATATGCCACTGTGCCTGTCTGCCCCTTTCATTTTTAAGATTAGCAAACCAAAGCCAACCCTCTTATACAAAGGTATGCTCACTTGTGTAAAGTGATACACAAGTGACACAGCTGGATGGGAACCCTGTGGCCCCTGACTTTAGATCCATGGTTTTCCTGTTGCCTTTCTCTGTCGTTTAGATGAATCCTTTTTTTTGGGCGGGGGATGAACTATTGAGAGAATACATTTTCTCTACACTGACACCATAGTTTGGCAGTTCCATTGTGTATCCCCAGCACAACATTTGCAAAAGTTGTCAGTATGTATGTAGGACCCTGGTGATGCATTTTTAATTAGCAGAGTTGTCAGGCTGCCCTGTGCATGGGCTGCCTTGCTGTGGATGCTCCCTCGCACTCGCATTTCTACCAGCTTTCCCATTTGGTTGTGCTAGAAGCCTTAACATGGCCCCTTTGTGGAATGCAGCCTAGAAACATGAGTGTATTTGTGCTGAGATCAAAGGTGCTTTTTTCCCCGCTAAGACCCAGTGTTTGTTTCCAGGTGTTGGCGGCTTCTTGCCAGCCATGAAGCAGATTGGCAACGTGGCAGCCTTGCCTGGAATTGTTCATGTGAGTCAGACTTCAGAACCTTAATCATTTATATTTCTCCATGGCTCAAGTTTATTGATGGGTGAATGACCATACCTGACAAATATGGTATCATTGAGAGGGTGTCCTTTGAGCAGTCACAGTAACCAGGGGATCTTGGGAGTCTGATTACTGTTGCAGTTTCCTGCTGCCTTTGGCTGGAGTCTTGAGATCCCTTGGGGTAGTTTTTATGTGTTTGTATTTCTTTGTCACACTGACATCATTGTTTCTGGGTTGTGTACCACCATTATAGATTTCGTTGTGGCCATATTCCAGAGAACAGTTGGAGAGGAAAGGAACAGAAAGAAGTGAAAGTTAAGGGTTAGAATTAGGGATGGAGAGAGGATCGTGTAGCTCTTCTGGGCATAATTGGAAAAGGAGGTGGTGGCAGTAACAGGTGAAGTTGGCTGGCAGCAGTGGGCCATACACACTGCACCTGGAGGCGCGTGTGGAAGTGGGTTTATCCAGCAGTGTATGCCAGTTAGTTTGCTGTGGGTGAGGGGGAGATGAAAGGACATGACTTTTGCAGGCAAGAACTCCTAACTGCCTGGGTGTCTCCATAAAGCCTTGCTGTATTTGATCTGCTTTCTTCCTAGGGCAGGCTCCTTTTCTAGGCCCTGGATGTATAAAGTGTACAGTACACGTATCATCAAATAAATTGCATTTGTCTAGTGACCAATGTAAACTGCAGCCACCTCTTTGTAACCTGACACAACGTGATGTGTCAGTGTCCTGAGACCACCTTTAAAAGATAATAATGGGGCCGGGGAGATGGCTCAGTAGAATAAATGCTTGCCTGGCAAGCGCAAGGCCCTGAGTTCAATCCCCGAGACTGCCAAAAAAAAAGTAATGATATAGGGCCAGCCTGATAGCTCAGCGGGCTAAAGCGCCAGAGCGCAGTGGCTGGGGTTCGATCCCCGGAGTGTTGTGCTGGCCCCACCTGTGGGGCCCAGTGAGACAGTGATTGAGAGTGAGTGTGGTGGCACACGCCTGTAATCCCAGCACTTTAGAGACTGAAAACAGGAGAATCAGTACAATTCTGACATAGTGAGACCCTATAGACCCCGTAGACCCTGTTCTAATTACAGAAACAAATAAGGTAATACATTAAAGCTACTGTGAGGTCCTTCTATATGCTGTTACTGAGGAATTTCCTTAGTTAAAAGTCAGACTATGAGGGGCCGGGGAGATGGCTCAGTAGAATAAGCACTTCCATGACAAGTGTAAGGGTCTGAGTTCAATCCCCGGTTCCACAAAAAAAAAAGTCAGACTATGAAAAAGTTTGTTTTCTAACTGTATTTAGCTTTGTGATTTGGCCTTATTAAAAATCCTCATTTTCAGCAATAGAGATTTTATAGGGGAAAAATATTGATTCTTAGTGTCCGGCCCATCGGGCCACCACAGTGACAGTTTGCAACGACTGCTTGACGTTGTGATTCTCTTCCAGCGATCCATCGGGCTCCCTGATGTCCACTCAGGCTATGGGTTTGCTATTGGGAACATGGCAGCTTTTGATATGAGCGACCCGGAAGCAGTGGTGTCTCCAGGTGAGGTCAGCAAGCCCTCGGGCGTGTGTGGCGCCCCCTGTGGGTCATGGTGTTTCTGAGACAGCACAGCTTCTCTTGTATGCTCTCCAGTCTTACTGATTCTTTCATTTATTTTCCTCTCATTTACTGAGGAAATTTGTGTGGATGCTTGGGATAATTTAAAGTATCAAGCAAAGCATATATATTTACTGAAGATCTTTTGGATCCCATCCCAGTGCCAAAAAATACTCAGACGTTGACCACAAAAACAAATGGAAGCATTTCTTTAGCAAATTTTGTGTCTTTGTGATGCAGTTGCCTCGTAAGACAGATCAGGTCTAGGAATGGTACCTGGCACCTGGCTTTACGGAGCTCAGCCGTGTTGCGCTGGTGCTGGTCACGCAGTAAGTGCTGAGTTTGCTGTTGTCACTTTGGTGTGTATTTACTGGGTGGAAGACATGGAAGTCATGAGGTGCACAGTTAATGCAGAACCATTCAGTAGGAAGGCCCAGGAAAGCTAGGAGTCAGTTACGGAAAAGACAGTAGACATAACCGACCCCTGGCGGCATCAGGAGACGTGCAGTACTCTCTTCCGTCCCCGTGTCCCGCCTTACTGGGTGCTCATTCCTGCCTTCAGTGTTTGTGTTACTTAATTCAGTGACGCCCGGTTTCAGTCCACAGAAGTCGCGTGAATGGCTATGTTGGTTTTAAGAGGATGGATATCTTTTGAACACTGTAGTAAAGGTGAGAAGCTTCTGGTAACAGCAGCCTGACTACCTAGTTTTGTTACATTTGACTGTTCTGTATTTTATAGGTGGTGTAGGATTTGACATCAACTGCGGTGTCCGCCTGCTGAGAACCAACTTGGATGAGAGCGATGTCCAGCCCGTGAAGGAGCAGCTGGCCCAAGCGATGTTTGACCACATTCCTGTTGGGGTGGGGTCCAAGGGGGTCATCCCGATGAATGCCAAGTAAGCGCACAGTGCTCAGTAAGTGAGGGGAAAGGAAACATGCGCTCAGCCTTGTGTCCATCCTGGGACACGCGTGAAGCGGCTGTTGCTTGGTCGCCTTCGGGAAGTAGAAATAGTAGCTGCCATTCATTAGGGCAGTCTGCAGCACACAGCAGTGTCCGTTTAGGAGAGACAGCCACGGACCCTTCACGAGCTCTTCTTCCAGTTAGGTGCTGTGTGCTACTGTTTCCTGTGGGCAGCTACTCTGTTACTGTCCTTGATTTGCAAAAGGAAATGGAGGTGGAGCAAGATGATAGTAACGAGCTTAGTAAGTGGAGTCAGGATTCAGACAAAGGCTGTTTGGCTTCCTGTTGGGCGCTTGCCCTGGCCGAGCTCTACACCGAGGCTGCTGTGGAGCATCACCTCATATAAAGCAGGGCCTTAAACTCCACAGTGCTACAGCAGCCAGACTGTTGAACGAGTCACATCTAGCTTGCCTGCTTGTCTTTCTGTCTTTCGCTTTTTTTTTCTGTGTGTGTGTGTGTGTGTGTGTGTGTGTTGGGTAACAGGGTCTCACCATGTAGGTCAGACTTGTAGTGACCCCCCTGTTTTCAGCCTCCCAGCACTGGATTGCAGGCACGTGCCACCACATGGACTCGGTTGCTGGCTTAGCGTGCCTGGGGTGGGCCCGCACAGCGTTCTGTACTGGGGATCGAACCCCAGTCCCTGCTTCTTGCCTAAGCGGGTGCTTAGTGTGCTGAGCTGTTTTGCCAGCCCAGTCACAGGTATTTCTCTGTTGTCTTTTTTTTTTTTTTTTTAGGCGGAACCGGGGTTTGAACTCAGGCCCTTGCGCTTGCCAGGGAAGCGCTTATTCCACTGAACCATCTCCCCAGCCCTCTCTGTTGTCTTAAAACTGTTTTATCTTTAAAATTCTTCCGTGCTCTATATTCTTTTCAACTATAAACATTAATATAATAGTGTTTTGGCTGTTTTACGTAATTTACCCACACAAAACCCACTTGAATTAAATTACATTGGAAGGTGCTTTTTTCTGTGGTTCCACATGATGTCTGATGTATCCTTGCCAATATCTTAGATGTGGATTTTTTTTTTTTTTTTTTTTTAATCGGGGATTGAACTCAGCACCTTGGGGTTGCCAGGGAGGCACCTGCACTGCTGAGCTAGCTCCCAGGCCTATTAGATGGGAATTTTGATGTAAAAATGTTTGACTGGCCTGTCATCTGGGGTAATGAGGAAAACAGATTGAAAGCTCTTGCTTTGGAATGGGCTGGCTGTACATGAGGATGAAAGCTTACTTTCCTGTAAGCACTTACTATGTGTCCCTTAGCGTGAGAAGTGCTGGGGCTGTGTGAACATCAAGCCATGTCGGGGGAGGCCTTTACCATCTTATAGCAGTTATTTATGTGGTTAGTGTACTCAAAACGCTGCCGCTGCCGAGAGCATTACTGTAGCACAGGGCTGGCTTCCGTGAGTGTGTCCGCCGCCCGGTGAGACGCGCTCCTTCCTGGTCTGGACCTACTGCGGGCGGTGACTGGCACTTCGTGTTACTCCCCAGGGACCTGGAGGAGGCCTTGGAGATGGGCGTGGACTGGTCCCTGCGAGAAGGCTATGCCTGGGCCGAGGACAAGGAGCACTGTGAGGAGTACGGAAGGATGCTGCAGGCCGACCCCAACAAGGTCTCTGCGAGGGCCAAGAAGAGGGGCCTTCCTCAGGTAATCTCGACATAGGCCACGTGATAGATTTTCCAGTTTTATTTTTGTGCTTTTTTTTTGGTATTGGGAATTGAACGCACGACCTCGGGTACCAGGCCTGCACTGTGCTGCTGAGTTATATTCCCAGCCACTCCAATTTTATTTTATTTTATTGAAATGAGAAATAATGTATATTTTCCATTTAACAAAAACGGGGGGCCCAGGAGATGGCTCAGTGGAATAAGTACTTGCCTGGCAAGCGCAAGGGCCTGAGTTCAATCCCCAGTTCCACAAAAAAAAAAAAAAAAAAAGCCAAAAAACAAAAAACACATACCTGCAGAGATTTTCAGTGTATGAAAAAGAATGTAGATCTCTTTATTTAAATGTCATTTTCCGCCCTTTCAACCAGAACCACCATGTTACAGTAACACAAAGGGAAAGAGAAGGGGACCCAGTGTATGTTCTCTAGGCCTTTTATAAAACAAGGCTATTCCTTTGGCCCCATGCATGCGAATCTACAGTAAGGCTGACACTGTAGACCTTAAGGGAACAGGTACCGTGCCAGAAGGGATGCCATGCAGACTGGCACAGCTGGAAGAGCGCACAGTGTTACCCGGCATGCTGCTGGCCTTGTGAGCGAGTGAGTTCAGGGTAAGATACTGGCCAAGAGGGATAATGTGCACACTGAGCATATTAGACGCTCAAAGGGTCGATGTAGTTTCCTGAAACGTGTCAAGGACAGTGACCAGAAAAGGCAGCCAAAGAGAAAGGTGCGTGGGTTCAGGGAGGCGCGCTTTGTGAGGGCCAGGTGAAGGCGCCTGAATCGCTAGCCCTCGTTCCCCATGAGTTCATGGCGTAGGCGAGGGATGTGTCTGCCACTCGGCATCTGAAGTCACCCTGTGATGTAAGGGTCGGTTTCTTAATTGAATAGGTGTGTGGTGCCTTTGCCTCAAAAACAAGTCCTTGGAATAGATTTTCATCATACGTACTTAATTGGGTCAGGTCTTTCCAGTGTTTTTCTTGCTGAAAGGTATTGCTGAGGTATTGTGTAGGTATATACCCAAATGGCCAAATTTTTTTAAAAAAATAATACAAAATGGTTTTAAAAAAAGATACAAAATTTCATTAAAGTAATAGGAATTTGACAGTGGTTGTTGATTGTATGTTATCTTTAAGTTAGTTGTTTAGGTTATCAGATATAAACCTGCAAAATTGGTTTAAAAAAGGTTACAGGACTGGGGAGATAGCTTGTGTTCTAAGGGCCTGTCTGGCAAGCACAAGGACCCGGGGTTGATCCCTGGTCCTGTGTACTGTGCCAGGCACCGAGACCGGGCGTGGTGGCACATGCCTGCAATCCCAGTGCTGGGGAGGCTGAGACAGGAGGGTCACTGTGAGTCCACGCTGCAGCATAGTGAGATCCTGTAACAAAGAAATAAATGGTTAAAAAAAAGTTACGAGAAATTGGAAAAAAATAAAAATTTAAGCATTGACTGCTCCTTTCAGTAGGCCAGCAGAAATCAGCAGTCCGATTACCCAAGCCATTCCATATGTACACGTGAATAGCTTTATCTTTCTTTTGGGAAGTGCGGAAGGAACACTTCCAGTCCGCGTGCCGTCCTTGCACAGGGCCGCGCTGGCCCTCCCTGTGGGGTTCCGGTGTTAGTACATGTGCTGCTGAAGTGAGCACCAAGCACTTAAAACAGTGTTCGCAGATCCCGTAAACCACCATGTGGAAAAGATGTGTCAGAAACATCGTTTTTCTGAAAAGCTATCACAAAGATCATATATTCGTAAAAACAACATGAACTCAAAGAACAAAAATGGAACACGATTGTAAGTTTAGTGTGTGCCAAGTTTGTATGTAGATAGGCTTCGACAGTTGCGAGCTGTGACCCAGAGTTCTCTGTCATGTAAGACAAAGGTACCAGCTCATGGTGTCCGTGAGGTAAGAACATACCACGTTTGAAATTGACAGCGGCTTGTCCGAGCTCTGCCTCCGGCCCAGTGGCCTTGCGCCAGGCCCTCTGGCCTCTGTAGGGCTTGTTATTTCATTGAACGTGGGAGAGTTAAGAGTAGGCGGCCCCGACTGCGCCAGCACTGCTCTTCCCTGGCTTTTCCTGTCGTGCGCTGGCTCCAGTTGGGCTGTGTCCTGCAGTGATGGGTAGTGCCGGGTGTCGACACTGTAAGAACTTGAACTTTGCCTGAGAGTCGCCATTCCCCGGTGTTTGTCACAGGATGTGACCCTTCCTCTCCTCTTGTGCATTGCATGAGCCACCTAATGGCATGGGGGGTTTTTGACTTTTTAAGTCTTTTAGGTGTATGTACTTCAAGCATATAATGATGTAGTAGACTTCAGGAACTAATCTATTATTTTTGTCATGTGGAACATTTAAATTAATGGAATGTTGCTAAAGCTTAGAGCTTTTGTTGCACAAAACACTTTTTATGGGTATTTTGTTGCTGGTGGGTGGTTTTCACCCACTTAATTTTCTTCTTTTTTTTTGTGGCCAGCTCAGCCCTACCCTGGGGGTGGGGCTGGCACAGCATGTGGTGCTGGTGGTTGAACCGCGGTCCCTGCGCTTTTCCTAAGCTTACCTAAGCAGGTGCTTTAGATCCCCGAGCTATCTTGCTGGCCCTCACCCACTTGGTTTTTAAATGGCTTCTTAGAAACACCAGAACTGAAGCTGTTTTATCTGATGTTCTGTATGTTTGCAGCTGGGGACCCTGGGTGCTGGCAACCACTATGCAGAAATCCAGGTTGTGGATGAGATCTTCAATGAATATGCTGCAAAGAAGATGGGCATCGACCACAAGGGGCAGGTGTGCGTGATGATCCACAGTGGCAGCCGGGGCCTGGGCCACCAGGTAGCCACAGGTATCGTGCAGACCTTATGTTTTACTCAGTACCACACAGGTGGCTAGGACAGCTCTGAAGTGTGCTGTGTGGACTTATCCTGGTCCCCTGCTTTGTGACCTCGGAACTACCTTTCTCACCTGAAGAAATGGCATGGTTATTTTGTGTGATAGTTTCTTGGAAGGTTAAGAAAATGATATACATAAAGCACTTAAGTGAGTGCCCGATGGCTCGTAAGTTCTTGGTGTCAGCTCCAGCTGTCATGACATCTACTCAGCCATCTTGCCGAGAGAGTGCAGCTGTGGAGTGGCTGAAGCCGGCACGTGCTCGCAAATGCACAGTGATGGCTGTTCTGCAGGATCAGGGAGTGCGGTGGAGCTGGGCATGGAGCAGGGAGATAGCTTGCTTTGAAGTGCTCATGAAGAAGAGGTCACGTTCATAAAGACAAAGATAGAAGGTTCTAACTGGTGAAATAAGAGATAAATGCATGTGTTCAGGAAAAGCTTTCAGAGGTGTTGGACTGGGTCCTTGCAGTGTAACACACACACACAGGACAAGAGCGATAGCGTGCACAGAAGTAGGGAGCAGGGAAATGGGTTACTCAGGGTTTACGGGGTGTGTGGAAGGGTGGGCGAATACAGGAAAAGACATAAACACATAGAAGGTATAAGTGTGGAAATCCAGGTTGTATTCAGCTTTGTTTTGTATTATCCTGTGAGTTTAGTAATTTGTGTTAACCTGACCCTTAGACTTTTTATTTTTTTGGTATCAGCAGTCAAACTCGGGACCTGGAGCTTTCCGTGCAGGCACTTTGCTGCAGAGCTATAATCCTGGCCCTAGAATTTTTAATCTGACAGAGAGATGTAATACTAGCTAGTGTTTGCAAACTTTTCCACTGAGTTTGTGGATTTGATTCTCATTCCATCATGGAGTTGATTTTCAAACAGTGCTAGCAACCAGCTTTTTTCTGTATGGACACCCTAAAAATTATTTTTATAAACCATAATGGAAACAAATGCATTTTCTAGGGCAGACAAGATAGCTCAGTGGTCTAAAGTGCCTCTTAGGCAAGCACACAGGGACCGTGGTTCAGTCCCCAGCACACATGCCGTGCCAGCCCCGACCCCGGGTGGGCTGAACCGGCCACAAAAGAAAAGCCTTTTCTACTCGGATCTTCATTCACTCACACATTGGCAAGGAGAACTAAGGCCATGTTTTGCTGCTTGTACACGTCTTATCCTCAGTACACAGCAAATGTCTTTTTCTCCCACGTAATTTGTGTCGTCATACTCTGAGGAAGGTGATGATGCCCAAGCCCTGCCCACCCCAGGACATGTGAGCCCAGTGCTCGGTGACTGAGCTACGTCTCCAGCCCTCTTTAAAAATCTTGTTCTGAGACAGGCTGTCACTGAGCGGCCCGTGCTGGCCTGTGCCGGCAGTCCCCGAGCCTCAGCCTCCCGGGTACGCATGGGCGTCACGGCGGTGCAGCACTGCAGCCAGCCCAGCAAATAAAAGCTGGTGAGCAGAGTGAAGTCAGAAGCACATCAAAGAGAAGCTTGCTTTTTGCTTGTTTCTTTATAGAGTGAGGGCAGTGTATCCTGCCTTTCTGCACCAGCCCGTGTGATTTATTTAAGCTTTCTGGTGTGGACTTGTCCTCTTGTTCCAGATGCGCTGGTGGCTATGGAAAAGGCCATGAAGAGAGACAAGATCATAGTCAATGACCGGCAGTTGGCTTGTGCGCGGATCTCCTCCGCAGAA